GAGGAGAAATGTGGCATCAGGGTTGGTGGAAGAATCATCAACAACCTGCATTATGTGGATGACACAACCCTGCTTGCTGAAACTGAGGAGGACCTGAAGTGGTTGCTGCAGAAGGTCAAGGACTGCAGTCTTCAGTATGGATTGAAGCTCAACATCAAGAAAACAAAGATTCTCACCACTGGGCCAATTGGCAGCATCAGTATGGATAGTGAAGAGATTGAGATAGTTAACAGTTTTAGTTTACTTGGTTCCACAGTCAACACTCTTGGTAACAGCAGCCAGGAAATCAGGAGGTGTATTGCGTTGGGAAAGTCAGCTGTGAGGGACCTCTCAAGAGTCCTGAAGAGCAACAATGTCAGGATGGAGACTAAGGTGTGCCCGATCCAGGCTATAGTCTTTTCAATTGTGTGCTATGCATCAGAGAGTTGGACAGTAAATAGGGATGATAGAAACATAATTGATGCCGTTGATCTGTGGTGCTAGAGAAGAGTGTTGAATATACCATGGACTGCTAGGAGAACAAACAGTTTTCGTCCTGCAGAGATGAAGCCAGAATACTCCTTGGAGTCAAGGATTCTGAAGCTTTACCTGACATACTTTGGACATGTTGAAAGGAGGGACTGGTCCTGAAGAGGGACATCATGTTTGGAAGTGTGGAAGGACCGCAAAGGTGAGGAAGACCCTCAATGAGATGGATCAATTCTGTGACTAGAGTGGTGGTAATGAGTGTGTTTGAGACAGTGAGGTTGACACAGGATAGAACAGCATTTAGGGCTCTTGTACATAGGGTAGCTATTAGTCGCAAGGGACTTGACACATAACAACAACAACAACAACAACATTTAGTCTGTTATCTTAATTTCTCAGGTCTGTCTCTTGTATTCAGCATATTAATGGGTTTTATTTTATTAATGCAATTTGCTGCTCTTTTTTTTTTTCTTTTGCTGGTGCATTTAAACCACTCACATTCAGTGTGATTATCTACAGACAAAGTGTTATTGCTGAAATTTTGTTTGATTCCTTTCTCGGTTGTTGCTGGCTACTTTGTTCCATCCAGTTTTCTCTGACTGAAGCATTTCTTGCAGAATTGATCTTGTTTCCAAATTCCCTTAGTTTCTGCTTTTCTGAGAATGTCCTAATCTCTCTGTCTTAATTGATGTAGTTTTGCTGTGACAGGGTTCTCAGTTAGCAGGGTTTTTTTGTATGTGGTTTTTTGTTGGTTTTTTTTTTTCTTTCAGAGTTTTGAATATGTCATTCCATTGTCTTCTTGCTTACCTGGTTTCTGTTGAGAAGCCAGTACTTAATCTTATTGGTTCTCCTTTATAGGTAATTCTTTTTTTCCTCCTCTTGCTTCTTTCCGAACTCCTTCAATTTTGGAAAATTGTACTATAACTTGGTGATTTTATTTTTGTATATATTCTATTCACTCAGCTTCTAGTATATGTATTTTCTTATTTTTCGGGATATTGGGAAATTTTTTTCGAATACATTTTTCACCATTTTTTTCAGCGCCTTTTTTTAATGTTTACTTCTTCCTGTCCTGGGATTCTTATTGTTGTTGTTATTGTTTGGTGCTGTCGAGTCATAGACGACACATAGCGACCTTATGAACAAACAGCCTGAGCGCTGTTCATACATAGAGTTTCCAGAGGCAAGCCATTTCGGAAGTGGATGCCGCTCCTGCTTCCAGGCTTGTTTTAGTTGGGATTACACATAGTTATTCCTCTTGATAGTGTCCCACAGATTTACTAAATGTTTTCCTTTTCCTTCTTTTGGCCAATATATTTTAATTATTGTGTTTAGTACACATAGTTTCTATTGAACTCTAAATGCGACATCAAATTGTTGGGTAGTTTGAAAACTAGAATATCTATCTGTAACATAGAAATTTTATTTATAATTAAAATATTATTCTATGACTTACAGGACTTGCATTCCTTTTTTATTGTTTTGAGCATAATCTTTCTCATATAGGGTTACAAATAGTTCAAGAATGAAGAAATAGTCAGAAGAATAATCTCTTCATAGATATCTATACCCTAATTCTTAAGGTAACTCTAGTGGTCTCGTGGTATGGAATAGTAAATGCCAGCCCCAAAGCAGGCAGTATGAATCCACAAGCTGCTCAACAACAGAAAGTGGACATTCTCCTCCCATTCAACTTGCTGCCTCTGAAAACCTCCCAGAGGAATAGCTATGGGTTAGTTGTGACTTGATGGTAAAACATTAACAACAATAATCTTTAAATTACTATTAATAATATTTTAGGTTGCATGGAAATGGAAACTAAAGTTAAGATAGAATTAAGGCTGCTAATAATTTTACCTTTATTTAGAGAAAGTATTCTATTTTATCTGAGGGTAATCCAGTGTAAAAATACTCTATGGACTGTCAAAAAGGTAAACAAGTCTGCCTTAGAGGAAGTACAGCCAGATTGCTCTTTAGAGGCAAGGATGGTGAAACTTTGTCTCTCAGACTTTGAGCATGTTGTGAGAGGCACTAGTCCCTGTAAAAGACATTCTGCTGGGAAAGGTAGAAAGTCAGAGAAAGAAAAGACCTTCAACAAGATAGAGAGTGATTGTAATAGTGAGCTTGAGTACAACAGAGGTTTTCAGAATGGTACAGGATGGGACAAAGTTCAGTGTTGTTGTTCATGGGGTCACTATGAGTTGACGTTGACTCAATAAGACATAACAACAACATCAAAGGTATTTCCAAAACAAAACCAAATTCATTGCCTTTGTGTCTATTCTGATTCATGCCAACCCTTCATTAAATTTCCAAAGCTGCACCTATTAACAGGAGCAGACTGCTTGCTTTAGCCACTACATTGAATTGCAGACCTTTTTGGTTAACAGTCCAACAAGCAACATACTATGCTGCCAGTGCTTCCAATATTATCACTATGATGGTTGATTTGTGCTGTCAAAACTGACTCATAGATGACCCTCAACAGGGTTTTTGGAGGTAGTAAATGATATAGATTTGACTGTGTATCATTATCCAGTGGAATAGTTGGTGGATTTAAACTGTGTGTCTTTGGTTTGGCAGTGCTGCTCCTTTACCACAAGGTTATAAGGATTCTTAAAGTTGAAAGAAGAATTAGAAGATAGAATCAAAGATATTGTTGTTTCTTGTTGTTGTTATGTGCCATCGAGTCGCCTGCGACCCATAGCGACCCTATGTACAACAGCCATAAACTCCGCTCTGTCTTGTGCCGATGTGCCAATCGCACTGTCTCTGACACTGCCATCCCAATTATCCCAGTCACTGAATCAATCCACCTCATAGAGGGCCTTCCTCTCCTACCCTGTTCCTCCACCCTCCCAAGCATGATGTCCCTCTCTAAGGACCGGTCTCTCCTCACAACATGTCCAAAGTAAGTTAGACGGAGCCTCAGAATCCTTGCCTCCAAGGAGCCACCCGGTTTAACCCTTTCCAGGACAAATCTGTTTGTTTTCCTAGCAGTCCATGGTATTCTCAATACTCTTCTCCAGCACCACAGCTCAAAGGCATCAATTCTCCTTCTATCCACCTTGGTCATTGTCCAACTTTCTGATGCATAACAAGTGATTGCAAAAACCATGGCCTGTATCAGACGCACCTTATTCTCCAGAGAGACACCATTGCTCTTCAGCACTTTGGAGAGGTCCCTAACAGCAGACTTTCCCATGGCAATGCACCTTTTAATTTCCTGGCTGCTGGTGCTAAGACTGTTGACTATGGAGCCAAGCAAACTAAAGCTGTGTACAATCTCAATCTCTTCACCATCCATCCCGATGCTGCCAATTGGTCCAGTCTTGAGAATCTTTGTCTTCTTGACATTGAGCCTCAATCCATATTGTAGGCTGCAGTCCTTGACACTCTGCAGCAGGTGCTTCAGGTCCTCCTCAGTTTCAGCAAGCAGGGTTGTGTCATCCGCATAACGCAGATTGTTGATAAATTGTCCATCAATCTTGACTCCACATTTCTCCTCATAGAGCCCAGCCTCCCGGATAATCTGTTCTGCATATAGGTTGAAAAGGTATGGAGATAGGATGCATCCCTGGCTTACGCCCTTCCCAATTTTGAACCATGCAGTGTTCCCTTGCTCTGTTCTGACGACTGCCTCCTGGTCCAAGTACAAATTTCGCATTAGAATAATCAAGTGTTCTGGGATTCCCATTCTTCTCAGAGTCAGCCACAGTTTGTTATGATCTACACAGTCAAATGCCTTTGCATAGTCAATGAAACACAGATAGACATTCCTCTGGTATTCCCTGCTTTCAGCCAAGATCCATCTAACATCAGCTACAATATCTCTAGCACCACAACCCCTTCTGAAACCAGCCTGGACTTCAGATAGTTCTCTGTTGATGTGCTGTTCCAGTCGTTTTTGGATAATCTTCAGTAAAATCTTGTTTGCATGTGAAATCAGTGAAATTGTTCTGTAGTTTCCACATTTGGTTGGGTCGCCTTTCTTTGGGATAGGAACAAATATCGATCTCTTCCAGTCAGTTGGCCAAGTGGTCATTCTCCAGATTTCTTGGCACAACTTGGTGAGCACGTCCAGGGCAGTATCTGTTAACTGAAATATGTCAATTGGTATACCATCTATTCCTGGAACCTTATTTTTTGCCATGTCACACACAATGTTATAAAATTCTCTTACTTTTATGATCTTGAAGATGGAGGAAGGGGCCATGAGCTGAAGAATGTAGGCAACTTTAATATGCAAAGGGAAAAGTATTAGATTTTGCCTTAGAGACTCCAAAAAGGAATGGACTTCTGCCCATATCTTTAGCAGAGTGAAAGTAGACTTCTGATCTAGCAAATAATAAGATAATAAATTTGTGTAGCTCTAATCTACAAAATTTATAGCCACAATAGAGAAAAATACATTGAGGTACCTAATTTTTTCTGTAGCTTTTTTGCAATATGTAATTGCAATAATAAAGTCAAAAGTCTCAGACTTGTCCTAAGACATTCTGTTAATAATTCTTGTTTATTTTTCTATTCAGGAGGTAATTGGTAGTAGCCAGGTAAGCGTTTCAAGAACTAACCAGGAAATGGAAGAAAAGGAACAAGAAGTTTCGCATGCACAAGACATTGAAGTTCTTGAAACAGAAATGGTAACTGTTTAGAAAGACAATACCTTTCCTGGGAGATCCTATAATAGTGTGGACATTCTGATTGTATTGTAAACATTTAGGATTTTTTATATTCTGGGTTTGGGGTTTGTTTGTTTTTTTTTGTAGTTGATCTCAATAAGTATCTTTCTTCACTTTGAAATTGACATTTTTTGAAATAAACTCTGACACCCTAAAATCCAACAATAGGTGTTAATTCAAACATGTACTGTCATATTATGAATCCATCCATTAAAATAAATGCTGAATGAAGTAAGTCAATTACAAAACTATAAACATTGCATGTGACCACTATTATAAAAAAGCTAAAGAAAAGCTTACACAGAGAGAGAATGAATCTAGGATGGTTACCAAGAAGGGGAAAGAAAAAGGGAGTAGAAAATTAGTTAACAGTTAATAGACACCTATTAAGCTGAGTGAAGGAAAAGACATGATGGAATGAATGGAAGATCAGATATTATGGATATTGTAATTAAAGTTATGCAACAAAATATGTAGGTATGATTGATTATTAAAAACCCATATGCTCTGCAAACTTTCACACAAATAACAACTTAAAAATTGACCGAAAAAAGGGGCTACAGACTGATTTCACATCTCTTAATACACATTGAAGTCTTTGATGAAAATCACCATAAAATTAAGAATAGTGTCTGCCATATTGAAATAAATTACATCTTCCAAACAATTTTTTTTATTAAATTATCTTTTAATACAGAAATCACATCTTGAAAAGCACAGCCAGGAACTAAATCAAGCTGCTTCTCATTTCCATCAATATGTTCAAGAGACAGGTAAGAGTCTTTTGTTGTTTAATTTAAGATCCTTAGACGCCAATGTAGCTTTCTCCTATTGATGAGTATGAATTGAAATGAAGGGCTGATAAATGCCTCTGTATTTTTGCCTCAGAAATTTAAAACAAAACTTGATATTTATCAAGATTTCTGACAAAAGAATTCGTATCTAGATTGTATTATTATTAATAATATATGTAAGCACTATTAAGTTCAGTGCTTCACCCTACAGACATGAGATTGCACAATAGACACAATTGTGCAGGTTTCCATAGGACAGCCACAGTTTGTCTTGCTTATAAAAGATAATGAGATGTTATTTTATCCCCTAAAGTTATAGAAGAGAAGATTTAAATGAACTATGAACAAAATGTTACTTACTATGCCTATAGTTTCATTTTACTGCTTAAAAAGTCTTCTTTTTCTTATTTTACATTTTAATTCTTTTCCCCCCTGAGCATTAACGTAAAGCATGCTTGTAGTAGCTACACACAGACAAATAAAGAATTCTTTTGCATCACATGTTTGCATGTAAAGCTAATTTCCAATAACATTTCCTTTCTTAAATTACCTTCCTATGTATATCCCTATGTCTTATTCATAGCTCTAAGGTGTATAATGAAATAATTTCATGCATATACACTTTCATATTGACTTTAGCATTAAAAGTATATTTTGAGAATATTCTAGATCATTATCATTTCTTCAGAGGTCATTTTTATTACTTATATAACACACTGGTATTCTTTTCTTCTTGCAGTTATTGATACACCGGAGGATGAAGAGATCCCAAAGGTTTCAACTAAGTTTTTAAAAGAGCAATTTGAAAAGTCTGCCCAGGAAAAAGTCTTTTACTCAGACAGAGAGATAACAACACCAGCCAAACAAATTAAGGTAAAGTGTGTAGAATCTCTACACAGAATCATGGCAAGTGCAAGATTCCAAGTTCATGTGGATGTACAATAAAAATATACTCCAAACAGTTATTTTGTTGCATTATGAGAATATTGACCTACCCAAGAAAAGAGGTAGAGAATTAAAAATTTTCTTACTGGTAAAAATGAAGGAAGAAGAAAATTATGTTTGCTCTAAATTCTAGTAACACTAGATAAAGTAGGAAAGTAAATTTTAAATGTCAAATACTTTTTCTGTTCTTTTTTAAAATTTCACAGAAACATAACAACCCTCAAATATATATTAATGCTTTTAATGTTTCTGTTTAGATTACTCTGCAGAGTATTTTAAGGGGGGAGGGAATTGAGGTTATGTGTAAATATAACAATACTGAGTAATAATGTGTTAAATGCATAATATACGTTTACAGCGCAAATGTGCTGTTGAAAAGATCACAACAAACACTGATCATTGCTCTTAATTATCTCTTTAAGTAAAGTATATCCCATGATATTTTCAATGATGATGTCATAGCAGTCTTAGTATGTGGACATGTAAAAAGCAGCAAGTAGAAAGCCTCTACTATCACACCCATCTATATAAGATTTGATTTCCTCTCCCCTAAAGATTGAAAGTGAATATGAAGAGAACTTAAAGCCATCTTCAATTGTGGGTACCTCTTCCACCACTTGCAGTTCATCCATCCAAAGAAGGGAAATATCAACTACCAGATACAATAACCACAGTGCCACTTCCTCAACCCTGTCACAAGTTAGTGCCACTCCTTCCAGAAAAACAGAAGAATTTCCTCCTCCCCAACCTGATGTACTTCAAACTCCAATAGATGTGGCAGCATCCTCCCAGTCCCCTGAATTGCCTACTTCTGCTAGAAAACCACCAGTCCCCAAGGAATTGTACTCCAAACAAAGAAATTTGTATGAATTAAACCGTTTATATAAACACATTCATCCTGAATTAAGAAAAAACTTGGAGAAAGATTATATCAGTGAGGTTTCTGAAATCGTTTCTAGTCAGACAAACCGAGGGAGTTCAGTTTCAGCTGATGTACAACAAGCCCTGTCTGTTTTTGAAAATACAAATGGCAGGTCTCAGAAAAGTCTCAATATTGAGAAGGAGCACATGGAGTGGGATGAAATTCTGAAGGGAGAGGTGCAATCCATGAGATGGATCTTTGAGAATCAGCCATTAGATTCCATCAACAATGACTCTCGGGATGAAGGTAGCACTCTAAAGGGCATTTCTGACCAAGAAATCATTGCCGGTGGTGATGTGAAGTATACAACTTGGATGTTTGAAACCCAACCCATAGACACACTGGGTGTTCATACTTCTGACATGGAAGAAAATGCTGGGAAAATCCCAGAGCTAGCCAGAGGAGATGTGCGTACAGCCAGGTGGATGTTTGAAACAAAGCCGTTAGATACACTGAATAAAATGCATCAAAGTCCAGAAGAATCAGAGATAACTACTATTAAGGACATAACTGGAGGGGATGTCAAGACTGTGAGATATATGTTTGAGACTCAAAATCTGGACCAACTTGGACAGCTTCATTCAGTAGATGAGGGTCACTTACTGCAACTCAGGTCTGAGCTCAAGGAAATGAAAGGAAATGTGAAAAGAAGTATAAAATGTTTTGAAACTCAACCTTTATATGTTATTAGAGATGGGTCAGGTCAAATGCTAGAAATTAAAACTGTTCACAGGGAAGATGTTGAAAAGGGCAATGTGAGAACAGCTCGTTGGATGTTTGAGACACAGCCCTTGGACACAATTAATAAAGAGATCACGGAAATTAACGTTGTTCGAGGAATAGCTATGGAAGAAAATGTCAAAGGCGGGGTAAGTAGGGCAAAGTGGTTATTTGAAACCCAACCTTTGGAGAAAATTAAAGAAGAGACAGAAGAAGTAATCACTGAAAAGGAGATTATTATAGGTGCGGATGTTTCCAGAAAGTGCTGGATGTTTGAAACTCAGCCATTAGACATTCTGAAAGAAGTTCCTGATGAAGACCCTCTACCACCTGAGGAGATAATAGGGGGTGATGTGCAAGCCACGAAACATCTTTTTGAAATGTTTCCAATAGAGGCTTTAAAAGATAGCCCAGATGTAGGAAAGCTTCAAAAAATCACTGCCTCTGAAGAAGAAAAGGGGGATGTTAGGCACCAGAAATGGATTTTTGAAACCCAGCCTCTTGAAGAGATTAGAAAAGAGAAAAAAGAGTACACAAGGACAGTGAAACTTGAAGAGGTGGACAGAGGAGATGTGAAGAATTACACACACATTTTTGAATCAAGCAATTTCATTAAATTTGGTGCACCACATAAAATTGAAGTGGAAGGAGTTACAAAAGGTGCAGTAGAATCAAATAAATCTCTGTTTGAGTCAACACCACTCTATGCCATCCAAGATCATCAAGGAAAATATCATGAAGTAAAGACTGTTCGGCAAGAAGAAATCCTACGAGGAGATGTGAGAAGCTGTAGATGGCTTTTTGAAACAAGGCCCATTGACCAATTTGATGAGAGCATTCATAAATTTCAGATTATTAGAGGAATAACTGCTCAAGAGATACAGACTGGAAATGTCAAATCTGCTAAATGGTTGTTTGAAACTCAACCCCTTGATTCAATCAAATATTTTAGTAATGTGGAAGAAATGGAAAATAAAATTGAAGAAGCCAAAGATATTGTTAAAGGGGATGTCAAAACCTGTAGATGGCTTTTTGAAACACAGCCAATGGAGTCTCTTTATGAAAAAGTTTCATTAGTGACTGGCAGTGAAGAAATTCATAAGGGAGATGTCAAAACCTGTACTTGGCTTTTTGAAACTCAGCCACTGGATACCATAAAAGATTCTGAAGCAACAGTAAAACTGCAAACCATAAAACACGAGGAGATTCAAGGTGGGGACGTTCGTACAACATGCTTTCTTTTTGAGACAGAAAATTTGGACAGCATACAGGGAGAAGAAGGAAAGGAGAGCAAGTCTGTGGAAACTGATATCCAAGCTGGAGATGTTTCTAGTATGCGGTATAAATTTGAAAATCAGTCGTTGGATTCTATAAGTTCCAGTTCAGAGGAAGTTTTGAAAAAGATCAAAACTTTAAAAACAGAAGATATTCAAAAAGGCAATGTTTTAAATTGTAGGTGGCTTTTTGAAAACCAACCAATTGATATGATAAAAGAACACCAAGAAGGTGAGGAATTAGGTAAGACAGTGACAGACATACAAGGTGGGGATGTAAGAAAAGGGTGCTTTATTTTTGAGACTTTTTCTTTAGATAAGATTAAAGAAGAGTCTGACTATGTCAGCACCCAGGAGACAGGTAGTGAAGAAGTGATAAAAGGCGATGTGAAAAGCTACAGAATGTTGTTTGAAACTCAGCCACTCTATGCAATCCAAGACCGAGAAGGATATTACCATGAAGTAACCACAGTTAAAAAGGAAGAGGTAATTCATGGAGATGTACGAGGGACAAGGTGGCTTTTTGAAACAAAACCACTGGACTCAATTAATGACTCTGACACCGTGTATATTATTAAATCTGTCACGCAAGAAGACATTCAGAAAGGAAATGTTAATTCTGTCAGATACAGATTTGAAACACAATCACTGGATAAGATTTCTGAAGAATCGCATGATATTGTGCCCACTGTTGACAATATTCAAGGTGGGAATGTTAAGTCCAGTAAACAATTATTTGAGTCTGAAAATGTTGATAAAAAGACTTGTATAAGAACAGTAAGTGTCAGTGAAATACAAAAAGGCAATGTTAAAACATCTACTTGGCTATTTGAAACCCATACCCTCGATGAATTAAAAGGAGAAGGATCAGAATATGAAAATATCAAAACTGTTACTCTGGAAGATGTGAAAAAAGGTGATGTTAAACAGGCGGTATGGCTTTTTGAAAATCAAACTTTAGATTCTATTAAGGAAACAAATGAGAGCATGACAAAAATTGTCAAGGAAGAAATTCCTCCTTCTGATGTCAAAACAACAACATGGCTTTTTGAAACAACACCCCTTCATGAATTTAATGAAAATAAGGTGGAAAGGGTGGCCATTATTGGCAAGAGCATAAAGGAAACCTTAGAAGAACTCTACTCCCAAAAAGTTATTGCAGCTCCTGGAATTATCATTGAAGCTGATGAAGTTGGAGATGTCCGAATGGCAAAATATAAGCTTATGAATCAAGCATTGCCTGAGATACAAAAAGAAGAAATTATCAAAGGGGATATCCAAAATATAATGACAAATCTACTTTCGAAAAGAGACTGTACAAAAAGAGAGATTTTGGTTAGTGAAGAAGAGAAGGGCAATGTCAATTTAACCAAAACTCAGCTGTTAAACAGATCAGCAGAATTTCATGCTGAGAAAGAAGAAATAGTGAGAGGAGATATACAACAAGCAATAAAAAACCTGTTCTCTGAGGAAGTATCTGTCAAGAAAGGCATTGTAATTCAGGAAGATGAAAGAGGAGATATTAACATGACAATCTATTGTCTTCTTCATGAAAATGAAGGTAACACAATTGACCGTGAAGAAGTAATAGGAGGTGATGTAAAACGTACCATTCATAATCTGTTGTCTTCTACAGCAAGCAATAATATATCTGAAAGGGCAAAAATTGATGACTCTGAAAGAGGAAATGTTCAGTTTTTCACAACATGCATCGAAACAGGGGCTTTGGATTATCTTAAACAGCTTCAGACAGGGTCAAGTGAAATACTGTCAACTAGAAAACAAGAAGAAGAGGAAGAAATAATTGGAGGTGATGTTGAGGGCACAAAACTGTTACTTAGGAGAAGACAGTCCCAGATTGAACGTACTGTTAATGAAACTGACATCATCCCAGGGGATGTACATAACACAGCTAAGATTTTTATGACAGAGCCTCAGAGTACATATAATAAGACATCCAAACAAGAAATTACTAAAGGTGATTTGAAATCAACCTTAAATTCCCTCAGTCAGGTTGTAAATCAGAAAACATTGGCTCATACAGAAGAAATGATAAAAGGTGACATGACGGGCACACTCCAATCAGTTACAGAATCAAGCCACCAATGTAAAGCAGCTAGGCAGCCTGATACTGGCCCTGTTGATATTGAACAAGCTATTAAAAACCTTGAAAAAGCTGCACATACAAGGACAGAAATCCTGAAAAAGGAGCTTATCCGAGATGACCTTGAAACATCTTTAAATTACCTGAAAGAAGTACAAAGCCCTTTCAAAGAAGTAGGAAGAGATATAATTAAAAAAGATTTGATAGGAGTCACAGAAGAACAGGAAACAGAGATGCATCAGGTGGATATCCAGAAGGACAAAAAGAGTCTTCTTCAGCCAAGACCAGGACCACTTGAATCGGCAACTGGCTGGAAAAGTGGCAGAGACACAGTCAAAGATCCTACTGGAAAGTCTTCTTATGATCATTTCATAGTCGAAGGAGCTGAGTTTAATCTTCCAAAAGCTCCCAAAGGCACTGTAAAGATTGTCGTAGATCGTGAGCAGAACAACGATGCCCTTGAGAAAAGCCTTAGAAGGCTATCCAAGTCACACCCCAAAGCGATTGAAAATGTGTTGGAATTGGGTGATAGAAGGGATGTCTGGGCTGATGCTGCCAAAGAACAGCATCAAAAAGATGTGTGTATGAGCCAACAATTGACTTCAACTATTTCTATTAAGGAAAACCAAAAAACTAAGGGATCAACAACAGTGAAAGAGCAGAAGAAGAGGGATGACATCTTTAACTCCACCCAGTCTGTTGATACGGTGTTTGGAAAGCAGCAGACACAAACCTCTGAGCTGAAGAATGGTCATAAGAAGATGGAAACTTATATAAAGAATCCCACAATGAACAGAAACATGGAAGTATCAACAGATCCACCCAACTCCAGGCCCAGTCCTACCCAACACCCAGTCAACATGTCAGGTAGGGGAACTTGTGAAGCTACAGAGGACTTTCAGAAGCAAACTTTGATAAAGAAAGAAATTCAGTGTCTTGATAAGAATGTAAAGAAAAATAGGATGAACCCTCAACCAGTGCGACAACCTTTGCCTGCAGATCAAGACATATCAAATATTCCAGAAGTCAAGTTCTTTGAAGAAAGCCGCAATAAATTTAAGGCAACCGACAAAATACAGAAGACTGATGTTCATCTGAAAAGCCAGGACTTTCTAATGAAGACAAATACTTCAGCAGACTTAAAAATGGCAATGGAGAAATCCTTTAATCCAATCCATTTTAATGCTGAAAATAATATGAAAGAGAGTGAGTGCTCTCTTCCTCCTCCATCCCCACCTCCTCCTCCACCTTCCAATGCATCATCTGAAATTGAATTTCCACTTCCTCCACCACCTCCTTTAATGATGTTGCCTGACAAAAATATATTCCCTCCCTCACTGTCCACAGAGAAGATAAAGACTGAATTTGAAAGCTTCCCAAATCTCCCTCTTCCACCTCCACCAATAGATGAGAAATCTGAAAAGGAATGCCTATCGACATTTCTAACACCTCCACCTCCTCCAACTCTTTCTAAAAGCCCAGCATATCTTTCTTCTTCTGTTAAGGAAAAGCACAGTGGAGCATTCATTCAGCAATATACCCAAGAAAAAGCCACAAGTTCTGAGCAAACTCACTCTCAGACCAAAATCAGAACAGGAAAAACTGGCACACTCTTGCCACCTCCCACATTACCAAAACCAAAATTTTTCAAGCCAATGCCAATAGAAGATAAAAAGAATCATCATTCCCCCAAAATGGAATCAGCAAATTATCTGTCAGATAGAGAATGCAAAATTATTCCTTCAAAAGAACAGAAAGGAATAATGATGGCAACTACCAGTGAACTTGCAAAGAGAGAACAGAACATATTTACAGAAAGTCTTGATGAAAGAAAACAATCTTCTTTTGAATCTACAAAGTTTTCTCCACAAAAATTTCCAGAAACTTCACCACCCAAGGAAAAGCAGACAGCACCTCTTCTAAAATGCCACTCATTTCCAGTGGGTCCAGGACAACAAAGCCCAAAACCTTATATGAGAAAATTTAAGACACCTTTAATGATTGCTGAAGAAAAATACAGACAGCAAAGAGAAGAGCTTGAAAGACAGAAACAGGAAAATTCGTCCTACAAAATAGTCAAAACAGAAAGTAAGAACCAAAACATATTACAATTAGAAAAGGGAATGATGTTAGGAAAAGAAAATGAAGAGTTTCCTTTACCTAGAAAGAGTTCAGAGAGCACGAGCACTGAGGCCCAATATATTGCAAACTCTCAAAGTAATGATCAAGTAATTAGAGTTAGCACAGACAATCAGATCTCCACAACGTCAGCAGTCTCAGTGGCTGCCAAGAAGCTCCAACATGTTCTATCATCCTCAGAAGAAAAAGATAATATTAGAAGGGACATTGTAGAAAACACAAAAGACATTATCCAATCCAAAGCAGTTTCTGAAACTAGACAGAGTCACCAAGAATGTAACACACAACAAAATTATTTGGAGCAGAACCACTTGCCCCCCAACAAGCCAGTTTCCCCAAGTTTTAAAGTTAAAACTATCAAGCTACCAACTCTAGATTCTAAACTCAATAAAAGAGACCACAGTTATGAAAATCATGAAAAGAAATATGTAGATAATGTTCAAACCATGACTAAACAACAGTATCACAAAAGTGAGAAAACAGAAGCAAGTAATGAATGTAGTATTAAGCAAACTGTGGCTGAAAAACATCAGCCACCTAAGAAGGAGAAAAGAGTGACAATACAATTGCCTGCAGAACTGCCAGAGAAGAGACAAGTGAGCAAGCCCAGCACTGAGCTTGAAAAGCAAAGAGAATTTAGAGACTCTGAAAGCGTGACACTGACAGCAAATGAGGGACAAAATCAGGGCCCGCCAGTGTTTGATCCAAGAGAAGAAAGTCTAATAGTGGAAAGAAAACAAGAATATTTTGAGAATAAATCAGCACAGAAGGTAGTCAAGCAAAAGGTTATTGATGAACATTTTGATTCCCAGGCTCAGAATTTTCAGCAGACACAAATACAGGCTTCTGAAAGTAAAGCTGAACATAAAAAATTGCCACAACCATATAATCAACCACAGGAAGAAAAAGGTGTCTGGGTTAAGGGCACACGACAGACACAAGTCCTCTCTAGTACTAAAGAGTCAAAGCAGGAGATGATACAGAACAGATCTTTATTTTCCTCTGTGGAAGAATCCCAGCAGGATGATGGAAAATGTACTGTAAATATATTGGAATTCTTGAGAAAACGGGAAGAACTCCGGGAGATTTTGTCTAGAGTAAAACAATTTGAAGCAGAGCCAAGTGAAAATGGCCTCAAAACATTTCAAACACTGTTAAATATTCTCCCAGTATGGCTGATAAGTGAAGAAAGGAGACGCTATGGAGTTCGCATTGCTTTGGAGAATAATTTCCAAAAAATAAAAGAAGAAATAATGCATATTAAAACTCAAGCAGAGGGTATGCTGGTGTCTTCTGAGAATATGATTGAAACAGCTATGATATCCTCTAAAGCAGGAAATCTGAGAAACAAATCTACTAGTCTTCATGAAACATCATCTGAAGTATCTGATGTTAATGACAGCTACAAGAAAAACATTGAACAGAAAGCAAATAAAACCATAGCAGAAAAACACACTCACCATCAAGTCACAACTCAGCATGAAGCAAAAACTCCTTCTAGTCCTGTGAAAGCTCATCAGGAGATTCAACCAGAGATTTGCAGAAATTCTCCTTCCTGTTTGAAAACACGACCACAGTCACCTACGTTTATAACAATTGAGTCTACAGCCCGAAGAGCACAAACTCCAACTAAGGACGAGCCTTCTCAATCACCTAAAAAGGACCATTCTGCTGAGCCAGCCCCACCAGGAAGGTCCCTTTCGCAAACAGCTACAATTCACAGAGCAAACACCCCCCCTTCTCCAGCCAGGAGTCGCTCTGAGCAGCTTGTCAGACTCAAAGACACCACTGCAAAGTTATCAAGAGGGACCATCCCAAGCCCGTCAGGCACCTCAGTTCCAATTGTAGAGAAGAGGTCTGAGATCATCACCTCGCCTGCAACACTTCGCCGTCAAATCAAGATAGACACACGTGGCAAGGACTCTCCACCAACAATCACAATACCTGTCAGTGTCAATCACAGTGCTAGCGGTTCCTTTCGAGAATCCGTGGAAGCACAAGAGGAAGTTAGGAGAGTAGAGAAAAGGGAGGTTTACACTCACAAGGATGGAGCTAATTCCACTAAACACATAGTGCCAGATACGGAAAGTTTTGATGCAGTTGAAATGATCCGCAAGATCCAAATGCCTCACCTGTCAGGACGCACGCAGAGGTACGAAGCAGCCAGCCGAACTGTTCAAATGGCTGAAAATATAAACGGCCATGAGAATGATATAAACAGATGGTTCAGGGAATTTGAAGGTAACCCAGTTTTTGAAGCAAAGTCAAATGAAAGAGTTTATGCGAATGGAGAGGCAAGCCATAACATGCAAGAAAGTCGTTCCTTTTGTAAGGAAAATTTTGGATTAACATCTTTGGAAAATACGAGTTTCAGGGACTTTTCTTATAGACATCCCCGCGTACTACAAGAAGCAAATCCTTTTCAACAGCCCCGAGTTTGTTCAGAAACAAGATCTCTCAGCGAACATTTTTCAGGCATGGATGCATTTGAAAGTCGAGTTGTTGAGTCAAAGACAGCGGCCTCTTCATCCCAAAGCTCAGAAGCTGGCAAACTAGGCTTTGACTTCAAGCATGCCCCGCCAACCTATGAAGATGTCATCGCTGGCCACATTTTAGATATTTCTGATACACCTAAAGAACTGAAGAGAAATTTTCAAAAGACATGGCAGGAGAGTGAAAGACTTTTTAGAAGCCAGGGATACACAGCATCAGAGGTTGCTCCAGCTGAGATGAGAACCACCTTTCAAGAGGCATCTGCATTTATAAGTGGTAAACGAGCTTGCAAAGTGTGAAAGGTTAACCCGTTAAAAGGCATGTGCAGTGCAGTTCAAATCATCTGCAGCTAACAGAGCATGTGGGGGGACAGAGAGCAAACAAATAGAACTAACAATTTTTCCTCTATGCTTACTTACATCCTTTCCCCACTATGCTTGGTGTTTTTGGTATTTTATTTTACTGCTTTGTCTTTACAAAAGCATTTAGTATTTCGTGATTCACGTGCACTATATGAAAATAGAAATCCAGTTACAGGCATATCTCTTTTTATTGCACTTACTTTCTGCTTCGGAGATATTGCACTTTCATAAGGTGGAGATTTGTGCTAAAGCTACATTGAGGAAGTTTTCTAGCAGTACATGCTCATTTTGGGTCTTTGTGTTCCATTTTAGTACTTTGCTCAGTATTTTAAATGATTTCATAATGCTGTTCCATACTGAAAACACTATAGAATAGTGCAAACATAATTATATGCATGAGGATAGCAAAATTTACATGGCTTTTGCTATTTGCTTTGGAGTAGAAGTCTGGACAAAGCCTTCAATACTTCCCAGGCATGCTTGTATATAAATTATTATTACCTCTTTATAGAAAGGTGAATAATGTTGTGGATAAAATATTAGACACAATATGAATGAATGAAAAGCCAAAGTCTCTGTAAATTTTTGTTAAAATTAATAATAATAATCCAACTCAAAAGAACACACACACACACAAAAAAAGCCATAGATGGCCAGGAATTTAAATACTTTTCATCAGGCCTTAAAAAAAACCCCAAACAAACAAACAAAAATCCCATTAGACATAATAATTGTTCTTGTGATAGCATCCATAAAAATACACAATTGTATATTTATTAAAAGTTATTAAACATTGGTTTATATGATATTTTATATAACATCCTCTGAATTACTATTGGTATCTTTTTAACTGCCAGACCTAAGTGGCATTTCCACTGGCATTCAATACAAAATGATAATAATCTTTCAAAGAAGAGAATCTTATATGCTGTTAGGAGTGGGGGGGGGGAAAGGGTTTTGTTGAAAAGTAATTCGATTTGAGCTGGGAATCTCTAAATAAAATCATAAAGCACTCCACTACTCTATCAATCAGTGAGAAGGGTCTATATACATAAGAACAAAGGAAAGATGGGAAAAAAGGTTAATGCTTGATAGATAAAATCAGCTTTAGTATAAAGTCTTTTGAAACGTGAAGACTGTTGCTTAAAAGGTAGTATCAGATTATCCAATAACAAGGTAAACCCAGGTTTATTTTTATTTATATACTAATCTGTAGGGATCTTTGATGGCATAAGTATAGGAAATTTTACCAATGGCTCTGTGGAGGAAAACATGGCACTTCCTTCCTGGGAAGGGTCAGCTATTTGAGTCAGTTCCAATTCAATGGCAATGAGTTTGAAGTATTTTATGTTTGGTGGTGTGTGTTTATGTTTTGTTGAGTATTTTTGCATGTGATTTTTAAAATCAGAGTTAATTAAAGGGTTTTCTTAAAAAGTCATCTGGGAAAGAGAGGATCCAAGAAAAGGAGGAAGACCCTCAGCAAAATTAATTGACACAGTGACTGTAACAATAGGATCAAGTGTATCAGAAGTGGTAAGGACAGGCCCAGGGTAGGGACAGGTTCAGCTCTTTTGTTAAATGAGTCACAATGAGTCCTGGTAGACTCTATGGCACCTAAGAAAAACTTTTAAATATGTACTAGAGGTTAAAATTTGCTCAGTCACCTCTGGACAATCATATATTCATATGTAGGATAATTGTTCCTTTTTTTATGTAGAGAAGCATAGCTGGAATTAAAGAAACTACAATGTATAGTCCAATATTAGACACAACCAGGAGGAGAATATCATAGCATATGAGTCTTTTGACAGAAAGATGTGTCAAGGTAGAATTAAGTAAGACACATACAGCATGGGAGACAGAGCATCTAAAAAGTGTCTTAGCATCACATTAACTATGATGTTCACTAGTTTAGTAATAGAAGCCGTAATCATAAGGTAGTGAGGGGGTGTGTATCCAATGGCTAGCAGGGTTGAACTGTAAAATAAAATAATCTTTAAGTCTTTTCTGTCCTCTAAGTTTTTAGTTACTATACATGTTCTGACTCTATGGTACCTAGCACAACAACAACGTATCTCACGACTTTCTAGCTATTTCATGTATAAAAACAAAATGCTTTTAAGTCAGCACTGACTCACAAGGATGCTCTAAGAATAGTTTCCTGAGGCTGTAAATATCTCAAGAGGAGACTGCCCTTCTTTCTCCCTTGGAGCAGTTGGGGGATTTGAACTGCTATGTCTTTGGATTGACAGCACAACTTGTTACTCACTAGACCGTCAGAGCTCCCAAATAGGAGAAGAAAATAAAACAAAACAAAACAAAAAACACCCCCCCCCCAAAATAAAAACCCAAACACCAAACTACGTGGTTTCCATATTCTTGAGATGGTGAATAATGCTCCATTTGTGCCTCAGTTCTCATTTTCTCAGATATATTCCAAAGTAGTGGAATAGCTGAGTCATATGGAACTTTTATGTTCAGCTTTTTGAGGAGGTGCCAAACTGCCTTCCAAAAAGGCTGTATGGTGAGGGGCGGGAGATTAATCATGAGGTTGTACAATTACATTGGGGGGAAGGTAAATGAGGGAAATTGTGAGAATCTGTTCTCAAAATCAATGTATTCAAATTTTGTAGATAAACTAGTATTCAAAACATCTAGATGGCAACTAGGAAATCCTTCACTGAGTGTTTTGTTTTAAACATTTTAAATTGAACTTAATTTCTGATTTCTGATGCAACTTGCAATTTATTTGTTTCAAAGAATTTTAAATATTTGTAAGAATATTGAATCAAAAAGAAATACTAAGAATCTACGTTCAGTAATAACTGTAGAATCCAAGAAATCTACATCGATGCTTTTAATTTAGATATAGGAAATACAAAAGTTACTTTTTTCCATTTAGAATCAATATAAATGTCTTCCTCAGAAACTAGGTGTCCAAAATATTTAAGAGTAGGCAGATACATCAATATTTCTTTGGAAATTTTAAATTCAGCAGGAGCAAGATGATTTAGTAAAGCTACATTTTCATCACAGAATATTAGCTGAAAGTTTGAACAAACTAAAATATCATCAATATAATGCAAACTTGTTTGTAAACTGTAAAGGCTGGAAATCTCCATGCACAATTTGAGAAAGATAGTTTGCATGTTCAGTAAATCTGAGGAATTACAGTCCAGATAAAGTACTGATTTTTCCCAGGTAACAGCAAAGAAATAATGACTTACAGAGTGTGTAGAAATACTGGGAATGGTCCTGGAAAGATCCGCAACAACAACAGAAAAAATGAGCTGTATCTGAAGGGACTCTAGAATATAATAAGCTAATATTAGGGACAACTAGAAATGTAGGTATAATCATATTTTATGCAAATCTTGAACAAATCTCCAGCCCTATTATTTAGTTTCTTTAAGTGGAAAAAAAGCAGTGGTAATACAAGAAGTACAAAGGAAAATTAGAACTTTAGAAAGGAAATTGTATATGACGGAAGCTAGTCCTCCTTTTGCTTTTCATCTACGTGGCTCCTGGAGAATTTTGGTCAGAGTTTTAGAGAAACTTACTTGCATTTTATTCAGCTCAGCTGAAAAAAAAAAATTCAGCTACATCTGTGGATATGTGGTCTGTGAAGTTTTAAGATTTAGAGCAGTGAGATAAGAAGAGAGAGTACTAGACAGGGTTGAACTTTGGAGAGGTATGACAATGGCTTGCATATAACAAATGGCTTCTTCTTCCTGAATATTGTTTAATTCAGAGACACTCATTGTTGATTTGAAACTATCCAGCAGAATCAATAATATTTTTCCCTTTTCATAAATTGTAATTGGCAATGCCATCTGGAGAAAAGATTTTCTTCTAATGGATTGGCAAGGAATTTATTATGCTGTTGTTGATTGAGTAAATAAGTATAACTCCTCGGTAGGACAAAGGGATATAAGATATTTGAACAGTTTGAGAATGAATTAACAATTGTTGCTGATTGGTAACCTTACACTTTTTTCCATTTTCAAGACTTTTGTTAAATGGTGGTAGGAATTACAGAGAATGTGACTATTGTCAATTAAATATTGGCAAAATTACCCACTAAGAGTAAAGTAAAAATCATCTTTGCAGATTAAGAGCTATCACAAGAAAAGCTCTTGGGTTTTTGTTTGGTTCCTCCCACCCCCCTTGGGACCATTTCATTTTAAATTAGGTATTTTTTTAAAGGTCCTAACCCATGGCATCTATTTTTCGAAATCATTTTACAATGCTGACAGATGCCTGGTCACCTTTATGCTGTTGGAAGATTCAGAAGTATCCATTTGATGGTGTCCACCTGAAGGACCATTTCTTTATTTACCTTGTTGTGTACTGTGGAGTCACAACTGACCCATAGCTGATCCACCAGAAACATGCTTACTTGTGTTTTATTGAGGATACAAAGGTTTTCAACAGTGTTTTTGAATATCAAATTTAAATTATTGCTAACTTTGAAAATAGGAACCTCAGAACATTTAGTTGTATTCGTGCAAAATCTATACATAGACTTAGAAGCCATGACTTGCAGACCAATGCAATGGTTTGTTTAAAATCAAGAAAAGCGTGTGTCAGGGTTGGATTCTTGCTCCATACGTAGTCAGTCTGTATGCTAAGCAAATAATTCAAGGACATGGACTGCATGAAAAAGAATCAAGAATGAAGATTGAAGGAAAGTTCAACAACTTAGATTATGCAAATTATACAATCTTGCTTATAGGAAGTGACGAAGACTTGAAGCACTTACTAAAGAAAACCTAATACTACTAAAGATCTAATGCTACAGCCTTCAAAATGGATGATGTCTTAACATTAAGGGAAAAAAAGTTTAAATAAAGTATTATCACAAAAGTAGGTAAACAAAGAAGGGTGTAAAGAAGTATATGCTGGCAGAAGATAGAAAAGATGGGAACTGAACTTTGACATTGTGTTGTTATTCTTTATTCTCTTTAGACAATTTAGAGAAAATGTAACTGTTTTTATATCTTTTAGAGGCATCAACATACTAAGTAAAACATTCTTCCCTCTGAGATTATTTAATCCAGGTGGCTCAATTCTCTAATTTACTGCATAGAGAAGCTCATGTATGGAAATCAGAAGAGTAGCAAAGTAGCCATGTATCTTTCAGATTGTCCCAAATGAGGTTATGCTGCATAAACAAGAATATGCATGCATAATAAGGGTCCATAAGGTCTGTTTACATAATAAACGTGTGTCCTAGAATGTGACTCCAAATCTACTTTGGACATGTCACTACCCATTTTATAGTGACAGTTACAAAAAATTCGTGCTGGGAAAGACAAAATAAGTGCACAATAAAAACCAAAGACCTATCAGTTCAAGAGAATGAAGATTTGATATGTTTGATTCCTAAGAATTAAAGGAAGCAGAAAGCACAAAGTCGCTTAAAAGCTACTATGCCTAACTCTTGATGCAGCAGGGATTGTGGAAGATAATTCGTCCCCACTTCTAACACCAGTATTGTCAAAAGAGAAAATTCCATATACTATTAAGGATTTTCTTTCTGTGCCACTGAATAGGAGTTGAGTCATAGCTAACTCTTTAACTCCAAGAGAGATTATCCATACTTCTCCAAGGAGCTTATAGTGGATTTGAACCACTGGCCTTGAGGTTAGCAGTGCAACTCCTCACCAATAATTTCCTAAACTATTGAAGGGAAAGTGTTCAACTGATAAGTAACACCCCTTGAGCTTAGCATCCCACAGGAAAACATAAATACTCCACCATTCATGAATACACAAGAACAAAGGAAAGATAGAAAGCTAATGACTGATAAGATCAGCATCTACAGTAGATCCTTTGAAATGGAAAGGTAGGCAATTTGGTTAGGAGAGAGTGAGTTACCACCTAGGTGAATGGGACCATAAAGTTCAAGTCCATGTTTGCCATTTTGAATACACTGGGGATAAATTGTTTACACCTTGCAACTTTCATCCAATGAACAAATGGTTTATACCCTGACTTTTTTCTTCCTGAGAATGATGCTGCCATTTGTAAGCTGACATAAGTGCTTCCAATTTGAAATCTTTCCTTTAATAAATCCAATAAAGAATTTACAACTTAATTAATATATGCTATATGGTCTGGGGATTTTTAAAAAAATAATTATTTTAACAAGTGCTTGCATGTTTACATTGAATATATTTAATTATTATCATTGATTTAGATATAGTTGACTTTTACTAGTTCTACTTGTTTGCTTTTTTAAGAATTTACTTTTCTAATCTTTTTGAAATAAATACCAAATAGTAGTCCTATAGCCCTCATAAACAGATGAGCATAGAATATTCATTTAAAACCTTGATTTTTTTTTGAAGGAAGATTTAAAACATATGAATTCATGACAATTAACAATCTAGAACAAGACATGCATTACAAAGTTAATTGGGGAGGAGGAGGGAGGAAAATATATATTAATGTATCAATAAGAACCCAACCTTTCTGTAAACTTTTTGCTTAAATCACAATTTTTTCCAAAAGTATTAATTCAGTACAGTTTTTTAGGCATCAGGGAACTGCTCATTTATCTTTTGCTCTTTCTTACAATTGATGAGATTGTAGAATAAAAGGATTTGACCTAATTAATTAGCATCATTAATATAGTCCATTCTTTTAGGCAAATTAAAATAGCAAGTTTAAAAATACTGAGAATAAAAGAACTGAAATGAATAATTATGCCTCTATCATATTTGCAACATATGTGTCTAGTTTAGCAGGTTAATATGCTTCCTTAATATATTTGCTTCTGGCATAATTATGCAAAGCTGTCTAATTAATTTCGAATTTTCAGTTTATTAAGCTAGCTTAAAACCACGAAGATAATACTAAGAAACTGGTACTAAAATAGGAATGTGTACCCAACTAAAACCAAATAAACAGAGGAGATCTTTCAGTAGGCTGCATATATTTATGTTTATATAAAACTAATATGAAATATTAATTATTCTCATTAGATCTCTGCGAGGATCAAAATAAATTCTTAGGTGAGAGTTCAGTATCAGTTTTAAGCCTTTATCCAATCCCTTTCTTATGCAGTGCAAGGTAATATAATTACTAGGAGAATAATTACTGGTATTCATGGAAACTAACATTCACATGAAAGGAAATGTCTATAGATAATTTCCAGCAAATGAAAGAATCAGGAAAGGTATAAGAAGCAAACACAACTCAAAAAGTTCTAAAAGTTAGTCATTTAGGTACGGGACAAGGGACCCTAAACACTTCATTGTACTTAGAAATATTATTGTATTACAAGTAAGAGTTTGTGCCCTGGAGGTAACCTTTATCATCAAGAGACATATTACTAAGTACATAGTCTTCATCTTAAGGTCATTACATACAGTTAATCCTTAATATTCATGGTAGTTTTATTCTATAAAACCCTATGCAAACTGAATCAGTGATTGCTAGATTACCTTTATGTTTCGAAGACTCGAGATTTTTGTTGCGCTGAATATTCCACAAATCTGTAAATGACCACAAAGACACTGTGAGTATTGATTTTTTAGTTATAAATAAATTCTAGAAAATAAGCATATTTACAGATAAGGGATCTGTGTATAATAGTTACATTTTTCACAGAATTTTAGAAAGTTCTATCCAGAATGCTTTTAGAAAAAAGAAAATCTTTAGACAAAGCTGAATAAAAACCATTTTACATATAGTACGTTCATTTCTTTAGAACGCCAAATTCTTTCAATGGCATATTTAGAGAGAGATACATCAAAAATCAAACCAAATACCATCAAGTCAATTGTGACTCACAGTAACCCTCCACCATATGTCTGAATCAGTTAAGTATTACCTCTTGGTTAATAGTCCAATGCATTAAAAACTAGTCAACATATTTTGATGTCTGTGTCTTCAAATATTTACCATGGAAACAAGAGTAAGGCTAATTGTACAGTGGTGAGGCAAGGGTCATAGCTTTTGATTTTAAGTGCATGGCTAATTAATGTGATGGTGGTGGTTTGTTTTTGTTGCATTTTCTATTTTATAATTTAGTGTCAAGCCATCTAAGTATTTTTTGTTTGGTTTGGTTGTTTTTAGAAACTGTTGCTCCAAGACAAGGAAACATGTATCCTTTGTCAAAAGACAGTCTATCCAATGGAGTGCTTAGTAGCAGACAAGCAGAGTTTCCATAAGTCCTGCTTTAGATGTCATCATTGCAACAGCAAACTGAGGTAAATGTTTTTGTTGTCTGTCACAAACTTTCTTTGGCATTCCATGACTTACAGCTATATCTGTTTTCTATCTCACATTCATGCCCGTTCTTTCTTTGTTTCCTTCTGACATAAAATATTCCTTTAGAAAAGTCCGATAACATTATTTCCTTCTCTTAAATTCATATGCTGTTATTTGAGATATCCAAAGATTTTTTCTTTCTAGTAATTTTACTCAGATATTTCTTAGTATTTTTGTTTTCCATATTGACAGTGTCAGTATCCCAGTGTGTTTTTATATGCGTAGTTGGAAATATTTTTTATTAAGAAAGATTTTTATGAATTATAGCTTTTCCAGTATTTAAAACTATTTATTTGCATTAGTTTTCTTCTTCAGAATCTTCTACTACATATAAATTTTGCCTATCTCTACACTCTGTCCTTTCTTTCAAGTATTTTTAAACTCTTTTCATTATAAAATGAAATAAAACCTTCAACTTATTCTTCTACATGCCTTCTTAAGACACACAGTTTTTCTTAAGATACACCTGTTATGTTTACATGATCTTGTATTTCTTTAAGTTTAGTTTTTATTGTTAGCATGAGATTTACAACCCAAAAATGATCTAAGTCGTTACTTTATGATTATGAAAACATTGTTGTTGCTGGGCACTGTCAAGTCAGAACCGACCCAAAGCAGAACCTCTGGCAGGTTTTCACAGGCAGTTAATTGCTTGGAAGGAGATTGCCCATCTTTCTCGTGCGGAGCAACTAGTGGATTTGAACTGCATACCTTCAGGATTTCAGTGCAGCTTCTTACCACTAGAAAACTTTATGAGTTATATTAATGAGTGTTCACTCATGTGATTCTTTCAGATATTCTGTTATATTCCTACTGCCTTTCCCCTCATTTTAAAAGGGCAAATAAACTTGACCTGTTTGGAGCTAGGCTTCAGACTGATTTTGCCCAGTTTGGTCGTATGTGATGAAGCCATACCAGGATGGACCCACATTTTTTACATGTGGGTAAAGAAAAATGCTAACGAGAATGAGGAAAATGTAGGTCAAAGCCCTGTTAGAAATATAATCTCCCTCTTAGAAAACAAGTCAACATATACATTGGATCACAGTCAAATCTCCATTGGTTTGAGTGTAGGAAGAAAAATTCAGAATGGCTTCTCTAAGGCCCAAAGCTTGTCTGCAACATCCTGACTTGGTTTCTCTTCCCTGCATTGCTTAGGACCCTCTCTTGCATTTTGTTGCCATCATTCTGGCTCAATTTTATCCCATTCTCATCATGTCCTCAGTGTGAAAGACCTCTTCTAAAAGAACACCTCAGCAGGGTAGCTGTGAGAGTGTGGCTGCTCTCCCTTCTCCACTTTATCTTGCTACAGTCCATCTGTATTTACTAGCTATTGGAGAGGAGGACAACCCCTGCTGTTCCCTGATTAGCAAGTGATACTTCCAGTTAGTATCCTGTCAAACATCCTCTGCTTCCTCTGATATCAGTAACACAAATACAACTACCATGTCTGCCATATCATTGAATCTCTTCTATTTGGGAGTATTGCTGAGAATAGTGGGTCACTCAAATATTAACATGTATTAAATTTTGCTATCTATCTAGTTTGCGATTTTTTGTGATTTTTTGCAGAGAAATGCAAAAACTATGCAATGATCTCACATTGAATTTGATTTTCATTTTAACTGACATTTTGTTTGTTGATCTTCTTAAATAGAACAATAAACATTTTGCATAAGTAAGATTTCCAGTTCGTTCCAAATCCAGTTTTGTGTGTGTGTATGCCGTTCAAGTTTTATTGTAAGGTGCAACATCTCACATAAATTGTTGATTTAGAACAGGTCTAAGTCCTATTTTCCCCCTATCATCTGTTTCTACATGTACATCCACAATATATATTATAGTAAAACCTGATTTACTCCATAAAATTTGAAACTTGTAAGATACGCATCAGGTGATGTACAAGTGGAACTATTATCTAACAAAGTGAATAAAAACTCACTGCCATTGAGTCAGTCCCACCAGGTTTACAAGGCTGTAAATCGTAGCATGTGAGGACTGTCAAGTTTTCCTTCCATGAAGTCGCTGATGATTTCAACTGCCAACCTTGTGGCTAGCAGCCCGACATTTAGGCTATGCTCATGGCTCCTAAAAATAGGTGTGTTTATTTAATGAGGACATTCTTATTGTCAGCATAATAGTCAGCATATTATAATTTACTATTACATATATCATTCCCTATAAATTTTCCATTAAACTTTTTAATCATTTCAGAATGCTCAAAATGCTTTTTCTCCTTTTTTTTTTTTTTTTTGCCAGTTTGGGAAATTATGCATCCCTTCATGGAAAAATCTATTGTAAACCTCACTTTAAGCAACTTTTCAAATCTAAAGGAAATTATGATGAAGGTTTTGGACACAAACAACATAAAGATAGATGGAATTGCAAAAAGAAATGTAGGTCGGTGGACTTGATTCCAAGTGAAGACACAGACATGTTTTATACCGATGCAGCAAACACCCCTGTACTTGGAGACCTTCAGCATTTAGATTCTGCAAGCAGTGAAGAACAAAGAGATGATTTGAGAAAACTAGGGGAAAGGGGAAAATTAAAAATCATCTGGCCCCCTTCCAAGGAGATGCCTATGAAAACCTTTGCCTATGAAAAAGAACTAAAAATGAATAAACCTAAATGGCCACCTCAAATGACAACTCCAACACCTACTGAAATGAAAAGTGAGTCATTGAGAGAACGTGCTAAAACTCTGGAGAATCATGAGCAAGAACAAGACAGTATTTCTTTCCTTCAGCCATTACTACAGTCTATTCTCATGTGTCAGAAAGAGGACATAGTAGGAAGCAAAGAAATGAAAATGCATGAAGCAAGGAAAGAAGAGAAGAAGGAAGGAAATAAAAATGTGCATGATAAGCTGACAGAGGCTGAAGACACAAAGAATAAGAGGAAAGGTGTAACAGATCTTAATGACAATAATAGTGTGGTTGTGCAGAGCATGGAAAAGGGGAGAAATGAGAAAATGACTGAACCTGACGGTGCAGAGGTTTTACAAGTTACAAACACTGATGATGAGGTAGTACTGGACTATCGCAAAGAGAATTTGAATAAGAATAATAATAACAATTATGTAGCAGCTTCACACCTGAATATTTGTAGGCAGAAGACATCAGTTTTAGATTTGTCTAACCTATTACCACTGTCAAGCGAAGCAAAATACACTGCGATTGAATATGAAAATGAAAAGTTAGAAAATACATCTAGAATTTCAGAGTTACTTGGCATATTTGAATGTGAAAAGACTTATTCAAAGAATGTTCTAGCTCTGGCCTTCAATAAACAGACTCACAGAGCTACTGCTGGCAGTCCTGTGCAGTCTGTTCCCAAACCCAGCCTCCATGGTGGACTAAGAGTGAAGGGGAAAGCTTTAAAGGTCCCTTCTGATAGAAACATAATAAACAACAGGGGTAACCCTGCAAGCAACAAAAATTTACACTTCTTCTTTTCTAACACTGTGAAAATCGCTGCGTTTTCCAAGAAAGATGCGAACATTTTTGAGCACAATTTAATAGAGTCTGTAGATCCAATTAAAAACCTGCCATGCTTGTGTTTGAAAGATGTTGGGAAGGACATTAACCACTGGCATGGGGAAACAATAGGAGCAGCTACACACAGTAATGGAAACATGAGTTTTGATGTTCTGAGCAGTGAATGGGCAGCTAAACATCCATGTCCCTGCAAGGAGGTACAATCCGAGCAACTCACCGTGGAAGAGCTGATTAAAAGGAATAGGTGCTACAGTGACAATGAGTGAAACATCATTGGCCATTTGCAGTCCACTCTCAGGCACTGAGAAGTATTGACGTCCTTATGTTAAGACTTTGGGATTTTTAATAAACTAAATATTCAAGAATCTCATGTTTATCACAATGGGAAAATTCTTGTATTACACATTATTATTTTTTTCATAATTTGTTTGAATTTACTTTTTCTGTAATGAAATTAATAATATAACTATGTTCTCCTGAAGGAAAAAACAAAGCACTTACATATATTGCTCTGTTTTTCAAAGGTCAGATAACATCATTGATGAGAAATGCTACACTGCTGATATTTCTCACAATTCTCACGCTTTCTTTATAATTCCTGCTGGAATAAAATTGAATCACCTATGCTGCCTACAAAAAGTTGTGTAATTTTTTCTCCTGTGTCTATTTTTATTCTCACTAAATGTGTTTTTAATAATTTAGAAAACTTTTGTCTTGGGGTACTTCACACACACATACATATATATCCTGGTAAAAATAAGATATTAACACCATAGAATTATCAGAAAATATTTTGTCTTCTATTTCTTCTTTGTTTTAAATATAAGACTATCATTACTTGAATGTTTCCTATATAAACTATCATGGAATATGTTTGTAAACATTTAATGAAAAGTAGACACTTTTTTTTCCCAAGTACATATTTTTCTCCAGACTTTTATGGAGTACAGAACCAAAACAAACAAGCTGAAAACGAAAAGACCTACTGTTGTAGATGTGAATCCAAGTCAGAGTGACCGGGTTGAACTGTCTCTTAGAGTTTCCAAGACTGTAAATCATACCCACAGTGGAGTGAGCAGCTGGTTGGCTCAAACCATTAACCTTCTGGTTTTAACCACTGGGATCCTTATGGGGTCTAAACACAAAAATAAACTATACTAGATAGTTTTACAAGTTGTTTAAGGAAATTATGCACCTTGCATTTTTCTATTCCTCACTTTATTCAATTATTATATATACAAATCAGAAATTTTTAGGATTTTTTTCATCATCATCTTTTAATGACTGTTAACCATAACCTCTCAAAAATAATCCCCAGCTATTGCCATTGAGCTGTGGTGCTGGAGAAGAGTGTTGATGTACCATGGACTGCCAGGAAAACAAACAGATTCATCCTAGAGAGGGTTAAACCAGGCTGCTCCTTGGAGGCAAGGATTCTGGGGCTTCATCTGACATACTTTGGTCATGTTGTAAGGAGGGAGAGGTCCTTGGAGAGGGACATCATGCTTGGGAGGGTGGAGGGACAGCACAGGAGGGGAAGACCCTGTATGAGGTGGGTTTATTCAGTGACTGGAGTAATCGGGATGGGTGTGTCAGAGGCAGTGTGATTGGAGCAGGACAGAGCAAGATCTAGGCTGTTGTACATAGGGTCGCTATGAGTCACAAGCGACTCGACGGCACATAACAACAACAACAACATGGCCATTGAACAGATTGTGCCTCATAACAAGTCTATAGGACAGTCTTACTCTGTGAGGTGTTCAAGTCTATAAATCTTTGTGGAAGCCAACTTCACAGCTTTCTTGTGCAGAGCATCCTTTTGGTGAGCAGTCAAGCACATACCTGCTGCACCTCCAAGGCTCCTGAATAATACTAACTTACCATTTATTTGTTGCAAAAAAATACAAAACATTCTTTTCTATAAGTATAAAACCAAAATAGAGTATTAAAACATTCTGTTTTCTTTCCTTTTAGAAAATGTGATAATTTTCCTCTTGCTAGTACCGTCTCAACAGACACTTAAGACTACATGTTTACTAATTAAAAGAATTATGTGTGGGAATCTGCTTGGGAAATGGCAGACGATGGAACAATAATATATAATCCTTTATTCAGACTGAACTAGTGCATTACTTTTCATGCATTCTTTAAAAAAGCAGTCATTTAGGCTAAGACATCAAAATATTTACATAGAGAAGAAAATCGTGAAAGCTAGTAGCAGAATGTGTAGTTTCTGAGTTAGTAGGTCTTTTACTGACGTGCCTTTTCCTGTACAAATATCACCACTTACTATACGGCCCACTAAACGATGGCAGCACATTTCACTGTTAAAAGATATTAAAACTTGAGATGAAAAGAAACTAATACTTGTATCAGGTAAACCAATTAAATAGTTTGAATTGGTTTTCTTTCCGGACTTCATTTAGTCAATAAAACACTTAAAATCTCCTGTTTAATAAAAAACAACACTGCAACTTTTTCCTGTGTCCATTTCCTTAGGTTAAATATAGGATAGATATTTTTTTAATTCCAATATACTTTTGAAATCCAAATTCAATTTGTTTAGTAATCAGTATGGACTCATGCTATTTGTTGTAAAATCTCTGAGCTCACTACACAGTTAACTTTAAGTATTGCTTTACAGACTAAAGAAACACAAAAATAAAACATTCACGTACGCTCTTTTGCAAGCAGCAAGCACACTTCATCTTTAGTTTCATTATTTATTATACATAAGATGTCACAGAGTAAGACAGGGCTCAGACCTGTTGGTCATATGGTGGTGATGAGTCATACTTGATTCAATGACACCTAGGAACAAAAAATAATATTTTAAGGGAACCTTAGTGGTTTAGTGTTAAAAAGTTGCACTGCCAAGCCAAGAAATGTAGTTTGAATTAACTAGCTGCTCCATGGCATAAAGATGGGCAGTCTTTTCCAGCGCTATTTGTTATCACTGACAATCATCTATGGAGGATACAGGGGCATGTATGAGTCAGTTCCGATTCGATAGTGCACAAAACAACAAACCACCATAATAAAACAATACGATATGTTTTCTTAAATAATACTTCCCAAAATAATAGTATCTTAGAATACAACCATGATGTACCTTATTGTTGCTGTGTACCATCAGGTTGGATATGAGCCATAGCCAAATCTTCAGCAGGTTTTCAAAGGCAGTAAATTGCACTGGAGGAGAGTGCTCTCATCTTTCTCCTTTGGAAGAGATGGTGGATTCGTACTCTGTAGCTTCTCATACAAGAAGAGGCTGTATTTATTCTATTTATACAAGACTCTTGGCACCAGTAGCCAGGAAATTAAAAGGTGCATTACCATGGGAGTATTGAGGGTACCATGGACTGCTAGGAAAACAAACAGATTCATCCTGGAAAGGGTTAAACCGGGTGGCTCCTTGGAGGCAAGGATTCTGAAGGTCTGTCTAACATATTTTGGACATGCTGTGAGGAGAGACCGGTCCTTGGAGAAGGACATCATGCTTGGGAGCGTGGAGGGACGGCACAGGAGAGGAAGGCCCTCTATGAGGTGGATTGATTCAGTGACTGGGATAATCGGGATGGGAGTGTCAGAGACGGTGCGATTGGCACAGGACAGAGCAGAGTTTAGGGCTGTTGTACATAGGGTCGCTATGAGTCACAAGCAACTAGACGACACATAACAACAACAACAACATACAAGACACGGGCTTTCCAATGACTCTTTTAATTCTATACCCTAGAAAATTTTACCTGAATAGTCTTTTGCAGCTAAGACACTATTAGCCTTTGTAACAGATTTGAAGTTCTATCTCACACATTCTTTCGATTGTGGTTTAATCACAGAACAGTAAAACTTCCAAAGGACACACACTTATTACTAATTCCCCAATACTATAACTTTTGCCTGTGCACCTGACAGGTTTCTCCTCAAATTAACAATTTTCACTAGACATCTGTAATTTCCAAAGGTGCATTAATTTTTTTTAAGAAAGCAGAGAGAAAGAAAACACACTTTTGATAGTTAGTACTGGTTTTTATCCAAATGAGGATTTTTTCCCCATTTCTAGGAAAATGAACATATAGAAAAGTAATCGCAGATGCTGAAACAAAGAAAATAAAAAAACCCGAAACCTACCTTTTTCCACGCTCTGGAAATGATCGAGAATCATATGAGATTTACAAACCTAATGTAAAAGTTTTGAAATCTGCAGGTACTAACAGTAAAATGAAATCTTAGAAAAATTAAATTTATGTGGAGAAAAAAAAATAGACCACGGATATGATAGGCAGACTCAGAGTAAGAATCATGAGAGAAAAGGAGCAATGTACTGAGCCTCAATCCTTTCAAAATAAAATTGAAGAGAAAATGGAGAATATATTTTTGCTAAATAGAATCTGAAAGTAATTTAATCATAACATTAATAGGGTCTTTGGGAAGCTAATTTAAGCTACCCAAGAAGGTTCATTTACTGTAGACATGTTTTTGCCTAAACATAATTATTTAAAAATATTAGATATTTATATGTAAATGAAGTGGAAAAGGGAAAACAACGGAGTAGAATTTTTTTAAGGATTCGCTTCCCCCTATAGTATATAGTACTTTTCTAGAAAGTAAGTGAAAACTGATGGGAAATAAAAGAGAAATACTATGGAGCTTCTCAATCCACAACTATTGCATAAATACTTAAGAAGTTCTTGTTGTTGCTTGTGTACTGTTGAGTTGTAACTGACCTATAGCTGACTCTGGCGGGTTTTCAGAGGCAGTTCAATCACACTGGAGGAGATTGCCCATTCTTCTCAGTTTAATTGCATGAGCGGAGATGGGCCCAACCAGCAGAGAGAAGTTGGAGGATTTAAAATACATGCCTGCAAGATTGCAGCACAGCTTCTATATGGTGATTGGTAATTTAAAAAAATGGATAAGACATGATAGCTTCCAAGGAAAGAGCTCAATTTAGAAATAGAAGCAGATAAAAATAATAACTAATTATGATTGGTACTTATGTGCGTGAATGGAATCAAGTCAGAAAAATGGGTAACCACAGGATTTTGTTTAATGGAAGACTGCAGAGTGGTATCATTATCAGTAAGCGGGAAAGAGTTTCATTGTCTCAACTGAAATGAAAACGTCTTTATTTAGGCATAGTTTACTTAAGTATAATCATGTGATTTTTGGACTCTGGTGTAGACACATGAGATCCTTCAAAAATGGAAGATTTACTTCCCCAAATTCTAGAAGTTCTGTCCATGAAAGCCCTCCACTCTCA